TGGGCATAAATATACAACTGACAGCAAATATTTTTTTGGGTATAAACCTACAACTGACTTCACATATAAAGTATCAATTATGTTTTTTTGATGCGATTAATGAAGGTGTTTTTAGCAAAAAAACATCTTCAATCATCCCTAACAGAAAATATTAAAGGTATTTTTTACCAAAATCGCTTTCAATAATCTCCCAAAAAATTATTGTTTGGAACATTAAAGGCATTTTGGGCAAAAAACACCTTAAATAATACCAACTAAAAATTAATCAAATGGATTATGAAGGACGTTTTTTTACGGGTAACGCCTTCAATAATCCGTAACAAAATGCTTATGAAAATGTTTTTGGATATAACTCCCTTCAATAATCCGACCATTAAAATTTATTTTTAGAAATATTAAAGGCGTTTCGAGTGAAAAACACCTTCAATCATCCTATCCAAGTTTTATCTATGAAATATTGAAGGCGTTTATTACAAAACCGCTTTTAAAAATAAAAAAAAATTTACTGATTGGATTATAAAAGATGAGTTCAGCCAAAAACACCTTCAAGAATCGACTCCATATTTTTTCTATTGATTATTAAGGGCGTCTTTCCACAAAAAATGCCTTCAATATTCTATGAAAAATTTTTTAAAGCAATTAGTCAAGGCAATTTTGCCAAGAAAATGCCTAAAATAATCAATAACAAATAATCTGTGCCTAAACCCAAAAAAAGGCTAAAAGATGGATTGAACCAACAACCTTATGGTAAACATCCGTATGATCTACACAATTTGATAAGCTTAATATTGAATGTGCTTATAAAGAAAATAAATTTAATAAGCCTGGGAAAATTTTTGATCCAAATATTAAAGGCATTTCTTGTAGACAATGCCTTCATTAATCTCATATAATTTTTTATGACGTGATTATTGGAGTGTTGTCGTAAAAAATAATTGGCTTAACTATTCCTAAATTTTCAATAAAAAATATTCAACGACGTTTTGTTCGAGAAACGCCTCTATATCAAGTCTTTTGTAGCGTTTATAAGTAACAACGCTGCTATTTAAATATTTAGTGACGGTTGGATAATAAACACCTGAAGTTTTATAAAAATATAAAAATTAACGACGTTTGTAAGTGAAAGATCGCTACAAAACTGACGTTAATACGTCATTTTGCTGTAGTGTATATTTAATATATACCTTTTTCCTACATGTTTTTTCTTTTTGCTTTTCATAGTTATGAGTCTATCCAAGGATTCAACATCTAGTCCTCCATCTATATGCAGATCTTGACATATATTTGGAGGGGATCAATTAATAATACTCTCAATATTTTAAATTATTTGAATAGTATTGACTTTCATGAAGTTTAAAAAGAAAATTTTGATTTTAATATATTTAATATTAAAATTAAATTTTTTTATAAAATTAAAATTACTTGACTTTTAATAACAAAAAAATTAAAAAATCATAAAAATAATTTTAAAATATAAAAAAATAAAAGTTTTAGATGATAAAAAATAATTTTCGGACATCTCAAAAAAGAAAAATGAAAAAAATGCGAGAGAGAGAGTATATATTATATTTTATCTTATTTTTTTGAGGTGGTTTTTTATCATACTATTAATATATATATATATATATATATATATAGACACACACACACAAACAATATACTAATAAAAATATGATAAGCTCATAAAATTATAAAACAAAAATATTATTATGACAACATTATTCTTTTAACAATAATATGATTTATAATTAATCGTAGAATTACTAATTACACAATCTATCAATAAATTATGAGATTTTTTATTTTTTGACAATTTAAAATTAAAATAAAAAAATAAAAAAGAAGTATGAATAAATACTCATTTAACATTTTATCAAAACAAAAAAATAAATATATTTTTTAAAAAATGGAAATGAAAATTTGAGACTAAAAGTTATAATATTTTTCTATCCTTTTGTAAACTAGTTTCAATATGAATTTTTTTTTTTTGTTGGAAAAAGAATTTTAACACTTGATAGACATTTAAAGTAAAAATAAAAGTAGAAAATGATATGGAGAGAAGTTGTAGTAAGCTAAATCTCTCTTTCTCTAAATCTTCTAAACTTTGACCTCTCTTTGTACCAAAAAAATGTATATTTGATGCTTAAATACTTGAATCTTGTTGAGAAAGTTAGAAAGTTAATTTGATTTTTATTAAGTTCATTTGATTGTAATTTTAAATTTATGACAAATCTTTTAAATTTAAGAATTTGTAAATAATAACTATTGGATATAATAAACGAACAAATATCAATACGATTTGAATATTTCTTAAATTGTAATATATAAAATTAAGTTATAAAACATAAAAAAAATTAATATTTTTAATATAGAAGGTTAATTTAAATATATTTTATATGAATATATATACAAGGGTGTTTAAAAATTTTGGAAAGGGCCAAAGTCCCCTTCAGGTTCTCATTACCAACCGCTTATGCCTCCATCACATATATAAGTGTCTTGTTTGTCTATCTTTAGTTGTTTCAAACAAATATGTCTTGTTTGAAAAGTTAAATAAAAATCATTTTTACATTTATCTTATTACTCTTAATTATACCCACAAACACTTCTTTTTACAAAATAAAGATAATTCAAAAAAATTATAAATCAATGAAAATCAAAATTCAACTCAAAATTTTTTAAATATTATGCAAAATCAAAATGAAACAAAATACACAAAACGGAAAAAATTATATATTAAAGAGCAATTAAATATTGATGTATTTTCCTATCAAGCATATGCATACATAGAGGTTTTTGGCCTATTTTTCACCAAATGAAAGAAACAACCCAATTACATACAAATGTGCAATTTGATTTCCCAATCTCATGGCTGAAAAAGGGGGATCCCATAGTAAAGATCTTAGGGTATTTTTGTTTGTTTACTTACTATAGCAGCATGAAATAGGTTATTAAAACAAATGTGTCTTTCACTCTTTCAGAAACACAATCCCCATAGTTGAATTGGAACTAGATTAACGACGATTGCGTGAAGACAGATTTTGACCATAAATGGTTGTTACACAAACTGGTTTGATATTATGATTGTGTAACCATTTGGAATAAGAAAAACAACTTCTCTAATTCCTCCCTTTTTTCCAATGGATAATAGTTTATAAAAGGGTGACGGCTAAATTTAGTCGGCAAAGATGCCATTATTAGTTAATTATTTATTATTATTACTAGTTTGATGTGTAATTTGATTACGTTTTTTCGAAAAGTCGTGTCCCAAGATAACTACTGCTTATTTTAGTAACAGTTTTTTTCATTAATCAAGGAGTTAAATCCTTTATTTTTATTTTTTATTTTATTTTTTTTAATTTCTAATTTATCCTTAAAGTCTATATCCTATTATTTATTTGGTTAAAAATGACAATACGTACATAATTTTTTAAAAATTTATAAACGTTAACTCTAATGATATGTTTACTAAGATAAGAATTAATCAATTATTTTTTTGTATTTTTTAATACAATATAAAAAAAAAAAATAAAAATAAATTGATACATAAAAATGAATAATAAAAAGAAAAAAATCAATTGTTACAGTATTAGAACCGATTATAAAATTAAACTTTTTGAATTTTAATTTTAATTATAATTCAAATGGTTAAAAAAATCAAATGAAAACGAAATTAACTTGAATTCCTTTGATGATTTAATAATTCTTTTGCAGAAAGCATACAATAAAGAGTAGGACTTGTAGGTTAATCAATGAAGGTAATGCTCGAAAAAGAAATGGAATAAAGGAACAAGGCAGGAGAGGAATTGCAACTTTTTTCAGTTATTAGTCATTACTTATTTTTTTGGTAAAAGCAAGTTAAAAAAAAATGGTGAAAGAGTGTCGTAGAAGAAGACTAATGGGAGAGACCAAGACAGAAAACAACTGGAAATAATCCAAATTACAGATGACATTAATCTTAACAATTGCAAAAGATGAAGGATTATATGTTGGGATAATTAAACAAATGAAGCATCCAAAACGATCCTGTTTCATGTCGAGTTGTTGGTGGGGAATCGAGAATGAAATGAAACAGTGTGTTATTCACTGAATAAATAGGATTTGATTTGAAATTTTTTCATTTTTTTCACATTTCTAATGTTCACATAACGGAATGACAGCAATAATTTGAATAAAAATTGTATTGATGTTACATACATAAATATTCATGTGTAGCTTTTAAATTAGGTATTTAAATTTTTTTTTTTAAGGTTGCATATGATAAATTGGGTCTAAAAGAAGAGATTTGAATTCTAAAATTAGTATAAGTTGTGTGAGAAAAATATGTAAATATGATCAACATAATTTTTTTGGAAGTAACGAGTTTGTTTGTGTTTTATTTAGTGTGAATTTCGTTCTTGCATTCTATCTGTTTTTGAGTCCTGGACAAATAAAATCCTTTTATTGGGCTGAACAAAAGAAATCAATTTATTCCCAAAAAACGTATACCTGTTACTGGGCAGGGAGACTAGGTCTTGGGCCTGGCTTGATTTCGGCTGGGTTTTAGGGAAGATGCTTATAATTAATTAATTACATTAGATACAAAATATATTTAAATCTGCTAATCTTGTGTAAGTACATTACTCGTTAAATTATAGATACCACGAGTTGTGTATTTGTATTGTGTAAATATTAAAATTTATGTATTTATATTTTTTATATCAAAATTATATATTATAATTCGTGTCGATACTAAAATATAAAATATATTTTTTATTTTATTATATTTAAATATAATTATTACTAAAATTTTAAATTATGTTATCATTATTATTTTTGTATTTATATTCATGTCGTATTATTATATCATATTCTAGATTATTAGATCTAATAAATTGTATCATTTTTATTTTGGGAGAGGGGCATTAAAGTGTATGAATTGTTAGCGTTGTAGATAAAAAAAAAAAAATCATTAATCTCAACCGGTTAATAACAAATTCAATGAAAATCTGTGAACTACTCTATTAACTAGGGGAAGACTTAAGCTCCAGCGACAGCCAGGGTAAAAATACCTGAATAAAGAATCAATCAATCTTTGCTTATCATGGAAAAACTCAGAATAAACTATTAACATCGACACCCTTCCTAATATGAAAGCATTAGATTCCTCTTATTATAATCTAAATGGCAAGCTGCTATCACATCACTTCTACAGTTGAAATGTGCTTATAAAGAAGGGCGTGTGCCCAACACACTCCATATCCAATAACTATTTTCTTGCATTCCTCTTATAATTTCCTCCTACAGCATGCCAGCCCTAGAACTTGATCAACAGATCAGATCTGAAAGCTTCAAAAACAATAATAATATTGAAGCTACAGAAACATATGAAGAATATAAAGTTGAGGTTTTTGATTATACCAAGAGGGCACAGTGGCTTCGAGCTGCTATTTTAGGAGCCAATGATGGGTTGCTCTCTACGTCTTCTTTGATGATGGGAGTTGGTGCTGTACGTAAAGACTCCAAGACCATGGTCCTTGCAGGGATCGCTGGTTTGGTTGCTGGTGCTTGTAGCATGGCGATTGGTGAGTTGGTCTCAGTTTACTCACAATATGACATTGAATTGACTCAAATGAAGAGAGAAACAATGGCAAAAGATTTTGCCGATCATTACTTCGAGACTATGAAAAAAAGTTTGCCTAATCCCTGGCAAGCAGCTGGTGCATCTGCGCTTGCTTTTGCTGTTGGGGCTGTCATACAGTTGCTTGCTGCTGCGTTCATAAAGTTCTATGTGGTGAGGTTAGTTGTGGTGCTGGCTGTTGCGAGCTTGGCCCTGTTAGGGTTTGGTGCGTTGGGAGCCCTGTTGGGGGGTGCACCCATGTTGAAAGCATCGTTAAGGGTGCTGGTAGGAGGATGGCTAGCCATGGGAATAACTTTTGGCCTCACCAAGTTGATTGGCCGCACAGGACTCTAATCCATCTTCCATATTTAATAGCTTTTCCTTACATGTTTTTTCCTTTTGCTTTTCATAGTTATGAATCAATCAAAGGGTTCAACATATGCTTCTCCATCCCATAGCTTTTCCCTACATGTTTTTCCCTTTTGCTTTTTCATAGTCCAAGGGTTCAACATGTACTCCTCCATCCCATATATAAGTGTCCTGTTTGTCTATCTTTAGCTGTTTCAAACAAAATGTCTTGTTTGAAAACTGGAATAAAAATTATTTTTCCTTTCATCTTATTACCCTTAATTATACGTACAAACATTTTTTTTTTCAAAATAAAGGTAATTCAAAAAAAAATTTATAATCAATGAAAATCAAAATTCAACTCAAAATTTTCTAAATATTACGTAAAATCAAAATGAAACATAATACATTAAAAAGCAATTGAATATGTTGTATTTTCCTATCAAATATCATACCAAAATTAACAAGGAGAAATAACAAGCAACAAATTCTTGAATGATTGAAAACCAAACATATGCATTGAGGTTTTTGGCCTACTTTTCACCAAATAAAAGAAACGACCCAATTACATACAAATATGCAATTTACTTTCCCAATCTCATGGATGAAAATGGGGGGTCCCATAGTAAAGATCCTAGGGTATTTTTGTTTGTTTACTTACTAGAAGCATGAAATAGCTTAAATAAATGTGTTTTTTTACTCGTTCAGAAGCCCAATCTCCATAGTTGAATTGGAACTAGATTGACGATGATTGCATGAAGACAGATTTTGACCACAAATGGTTGTTCCACAAACTGGTTTGATATTTTGATTGTATCTAACCATTTGAAGAAGAAACTTCTCTAATGCCTTCCCTTTTTACAATTGATAATAGTTTATTCAAGGATGGAGGCTAAATTTAGACGGCAAAGATGCCATTATTAGTTAATTATTAATTATTATTACTAGTTTGATGTGTAATTCGATTACGTTTTTTTTTTTTTTCAAAAAGTCGTTGTCCCAAGATAACCACTACTTATTTTAGTAGCAAAATTTTTTTTTGACCTTTATTCAAGGAGTTAAATCCTTTAGGTTAGTTTGGTTTGTGTTTTTATTTTTTTAATAACATGAAAAACAAAAAATACAAAATAAATTGAAACTTTGAAAGCAAAAGTTAATTGTTGCAGTATCTATTCTAAAATTGAAGATATTGAATTCGAATTTTGTTTATAATTTAAAATACCAAAAATAAAAACAACCAAATGAAGTTGAAATTAAATTGAATTTCTTTTGATGATTTACTGATTTCATTTGCAGAAAGCGTGTTGTAAAAAGTAGGGCTTATAGAATAATCGATGAAGGTAATGCTTGAAAAAGAAATGGAATAAAGGAACAAAGCATAGGAGGAATCGCAACTTTTTTCAGTTATTAGTCATTTACTTATTCTTTTGGTAAAAGCAAGTTAAAAAAAAAAATGATGAAAGAGTGTTGTAGGAGGCAAGACTTTGATGGTTGATACCAAAATAGAGAACAACTTCACGTAATCCAATTACAAATGACATTAATCTTAACAATTGCAAAAGATGAAAGATTATGTTGGAGTAATTAAACAAATGAAGCATCCAAAACGATCCAGTTTCGTGTCAAGTTGTTGGTGGGGTATGGAGAATGAAATGAAACAGTCTATTAACTCATATATTCAGTTATTCACAGAATAAATAGGCTTTGATTTGAAATTTTTCATTGTTTTCACATTTCTAATGTTCACTTCTTTTTTTTTCATAAAAAAAAAAATCACATCTTTTTAAGTCCCAAATAAGAATAAAAAAACCATTTAAAAACATAAATAATACATATATTTTTGTTTATTTATTTATAATTGGACATGGTGTCATTTTGTGAAAATTCTGTTTCTCGTCCTAAATATTTGGTATTCTTGTTTAGAGCACTCCTCTGCTACGATTTGAATTTGAATTTGAATTGTGTGGCAACCTGTAAGTTACTGCTTACCTGCAGGCATGTGTTAAGAGAATCCAAGGTGATGAAAGTGGGCACAAGCATTGCACTGGTCAATATTTTGATTATTGGTCTTGTATTGATAAATGCGTAAGTAGTTTTATTTGCTTAGCCTCATTTTGGTTATATTTTGTAACTTGTCCTGATACCCCAACTTGGCGGAATGCAGGTTGCACCATCGCTATTCTCGAAACTGAAATAACCAGGGCCAATGTTGTGTAAGTTAACAATAGCATCACGTCCTGCTGTTTTGAGTTAGAAAGCCAGTGATTGTTTCAGAAACTATCGATCTTGTATTGTGAACTTGAGATGCCTCGTGGCTAATCAGAGAACTGTTAAAATTTTGTGTTACTGTGGAAACGTTTAATGATTATCAATATATTTGGATCCTTGGAGAAATGCCTGCCTATGGGCTGGTCAGAAGTGCGATAACGGAATGACAGCAATAATTTGAATATAAATTGTGTTGATGTTACATACATAAACATTCAAGTGTAGCTTTCAAAATTAGGTAGTTAAATGGTTTTTTTTAAAGGTTGCATATGATAATTTGGATCTAAAGAAGAGATTTGAATTTTAAAATTAGTATAAATTGTGTGAGAAAAACATGTCAATATGATCAACATAATTAATCTTAGAGTAAAGAGTTTGTTTGATTTTTGTTTAGTGTGAATTTCGTTCTCACAATATATCTGTATTTAAGTCCCGCACAAATAAAATCCTTTTATTGGGATGGGCAAAGAATCAATTTATTCCCAATAAACGTACATCTGTTCATAGGCACGGAGACTCGGCTCAAGGGCCTGGCTTGATTTGGGCTGGGTTCTAGGGAAAAGGTTTATAATTAATTTTCATTTTTTTTTTAAGTTCCTAATCTATCGATTTGTGTTTTTTTTTTTAAGTATCTAATTTTCTCGTAAACTTTTTACCCTATAACATTTTTGGGTAAAGAGGATATTATAGGTTTAAACTTTTTTAACTCATAATTTTCAAGTGCTAACTATAATAACATGCTAATTAATCAAATGATAGTCGATGAATAATTTATATATTTATATAATATTTTATACGAAAATTATATATTATAATTAATATTAAAATAAAAATATAAATTTTTTTTATTTTGTTAAGTTAATATATAATTATTACTAAAATTTTAAATCATGTTACTTTTTTTTTGCATCGTGTTTATGTCATATAATTATATCAAATTTTAAATGATGAGATTTATTAAATTATATATATATTTTTTTTTGGGAGAGGGGCACTAAAGTATATGAATTGTTAACATTGCAGATAAAAAAATCGTTAATCTCAACCAGTTAATAACAAATTCAGTGAAAATCTGAGTACTGCTCCATTAACCAGCAACAACTAGGGGAAAAATAACTGAATAAAGAATAAATCAATCTGTTGCTTGTCATGGAAAAACTCAAATCAAACTTTTATATAGTATCCATCCCCTTCCTAGTGTGAAAGCATTAGACTCCTCTTATTATTGTCTAAATTCTACAGTTGAAATGTGCTTATAAAGAAGGGCGTGTGCCGTCCACACTCCATATCCAGTAACCTTACATTCCCCTTACATTGTCCTCCTATACCATGCCAGCCCTAGAACTTGATCCGGAGATCAGGTCTGAAAACTTAAAAAACAATAGTAATATTGAAGCTGCAGCAACAAATGAAGAACATAAAGCCTAGGTTTTTGATTATGCCAAGAGGGGCAAAGTGGCTTCGAGCTGCTGTTTTAGGAGCCAATGATGGGTTGCTCTCTACGGCTTCTTTGATGATGGGAGTTGGTGCTGTACGTAAAGACTCCAAGACCATGGTCCTTACGGGGATCGCTGGTTTGGTTGCTGGTGCTTGTAGCATGGCGATTGGTGAGTTGGTCTCAGTTTACTCACAATGTGACATTGAATTGATTCAAATGAAGAGAGAAATCATGGCAAAAGATTTTGCCGATCATGACTTCGACACTAAGAGACAAAGTTTGCCTAACCCCTGGCAAGCAGCTGGTGCATCTGCGCTTGCTTGTGCTTTTGGGGCTGTCATACCGTTAGTTGCTGCTGTGTTCATAAATGTTTAAGTGGTGAGGTTAGTGGTGGTGCTTGGCCCTGTTAGGGTTTGGTGCGTTGGGAGCCCTTTTGGGGGGTGCACCCATGTTGAAGGCGTCGTTAAGGGTGCTGGTCGGAGGATGGTTAGCCATGGGAATAACTTTTGGGTTCACCAAGTTGATTGGTCGTTCAGGACTCTAATCCATCTTCTATATTTAATATATACCTTTTTCCCACATGTTTTTTCTTTTTGCTTGTCATAGTTATGAGTCTATCCAAGGATTCAACATCTACTCCTCCATCTATATGCGGATCTTGACATATAATTTGAGGGATCAATTAATAATACTCCAAATATTTTAAATTATTTGAATAGTATTGACTTTCATGAAGTTTAAGAAAAAAATTTCGATTTTAATGTATTTAATATTAAAATTAAAATTTTTTTATAAAATTAAAATTCCATAACTTTTAATAACAAAAAATTAAAAAAATCATAAAAAATAAAAGTTTTAGATGATAAAAAAAATAATTTTGGGGCATCTCAAAAAAGAAAAATGAAAAAAATGTGAGAGAGAGAGTGTATAATATATTTTATCTCATATTTTGAGGCGTTTTTTTATCATACTATTAATATATATATATATATATACACACACACACACATACACAAACAATATACTAATAAAAACATGATAAGCTCATAAAAATTATAAAATAAAAATATTATTATGACAACATTATTCTTTTAATAATAATATAATTTATAATTAATCGTAGAATTACTAATTACACAATTTGTCTATAAATTATGAGATTTTTTTTACAATTTAAAATTAAAATAAAAAAAGCATGAATACATAATCATTTAACATTTTATCAAAACAAAAAAATAAATATATTTTTAAAAATATGGAGATGAAATTTTGAGACTCAAAGTTATAATGTTTTTCTATCCTTTTGTAAACTAGTTTCAATATGATTTTTATTTGTTGGAAAAAGAATTTTAACACTTGATAGACATTTAAAGCAAAAATAAAAGTAGAAAATGATACGGAGAGGAGTTGTAGTAAGCTAAATCTCACTTTCTTTAAATCTCCTAAACTTTGACCTCTCTTGTACCAAAAAAATATATATATTTGGTGCTTAGTTGAATACTTTAATTTTTCAAGAATGTTGAAATGTTAATTTAATTTTTGTTATGTTCATTTTATTGTGATTTAAATTTTATGACAAATCTCTTAATTTTAAAAATTTGCAAATAATAACCGTTGGATAGAATAAATGAACAAATATCAATACAATTTAAACATCTCTTAAATTGCAATATGTAAAATTGAATTATAAAACACAAAAAAAAGAAAATTAATATTTTTAATTTATAAGGTCAATTTAAATATATTTTATAAGAATATATATACATGCTAAAGGGTGTTTCAAAATTTTGGAAAGGGCCAAGTTCCCCTCAGGTTCTCATTACCAACCACCCATTCCTCCATCCCATATATACGTGTCTTGTTTGTCTATCTTTAGTTGTTTCAAACAATATGTTTTGTTTGAAAAGTTAAATAAAAATCATTTTTACACTTATCTTATTGCTCTTAATTATACCTACAAACACTCTTTTTTTTTTTCAAAATAAAGATAATTAAAAAAAATTATAAATCAATGAAAATCAAAATTCAACTCAAAATTTTTAAAATATTATGCAAAATCAAAATGAAACAAAATACACGAGACGGAAAAAACTATATATGAAAAAGCAATTAAGTATTGATGTATTTTCCTTCGTATATAGAAGTTTTTGCCCTATTTTTCACCAAATGAAAGAAACAACCCAATTACATACAAATATGCAATTTGATTTCCCAATCTCATGGCTGAAAAAGGGGGATCCCACAGTAAAGATCCTAGGGTATTTTTGTTTGTTTACTTACTATAGCAGCACGAAATAGGTTATTAAAACAAATGTGTTTTTCAGTCGTTCAGAAACACAATCCCCATAGTTGAGTTGGAACTAGATTAACGACGATTGCATGAGGACAGATTTTGACCATAAATGGTTGTTACACAAACTGGTTTGATATTATGATTGTCTCTAACCATTTGGAAGAAGAAAAACAACTTCTCTAATTCCTCCCTTTTTTTTCCAATTGATAATAGTTTATAAAAGGGTGACGGCTAAATTTAGACGGCAAAGATGCCATTATTAGTTAATTATTTATTATTATTACTAGTTTGATGTGTAATTTGATTGCGTTTTTTCGAAAAGTCGTGTCCAAGATAACTACTACTTATTTTAGTAACAATTTTTTTCCATTAATCAACGAGTTAAATCCTTTGGGTTAGTTTGGCTTTTGTTTTTTAATTTCTAATTTATCCTTAAAGTCAATATCCTATTATTTATTTGACTAAAAATGATATTACGTACATAAATTTTTTTAAACTCGTAAAACTTTAATTTTAATGATATGTCAATTGAGATAAGAGTTAATCAAAAAATTTTTTGTTTTTTTAATACAATATAAAAACAAAAAAATAAAAATAAATTGATACATAAAAACGAATAATAAAAAGCAAAAATCAATTATTACAGTATTAGAACATATTGAAAAATTAAAGTTTTTGAATTTTAATTTTAATTATAATTTAAAATATTAAAAAAATCAAATGAAAACGAAATTAACTTGAATTCCTTTTGATGATTTAATGATTTCTTTTGCAGAAAGCATACAATAAAAAGCAGGACTCGTCGATTAATCAGTGAAGGTAATGCTTGAAAAAGAAATGGAATAAAGGAACAAGGCATGAGAGGAACTGCAACTTTTTTCAGTTATTAGTCATTACTTATTCTTTTGGTAAAAGCAAGTTTAAAAAAATGGTGAAAGAGTGTTGTAGGAGAAGACTAATGGGAGAGACCAAAACAGAAAACAACTGGAAATAATCCAAATTTTAGATGACATTAATCTTAACAATTGCAAAAGATGAAGGATTATATGTTGGAATAATTAAACAAATGAAGCATCCAAGACGATCCAGTTTCATGTCAAGTTGTTGGTGGAGAATCGAGGATGAACTGAAACAGCCTATTACCCCATATATTCAGTTATTCACAGAATATATAGGCTTTGATTTGAAAATTTTTCATTGTTTTCACATTTCTAA